AGAAATCACCCCCCAAAGGGGATGGTCACGCCGCAATCCATTCTCCTCCATTCTCCTCTTGGGATCTTGGGCACGCACGCACACGCGCTTGGTGTGAGTTTAAGCCAGCAGGTCTGGGACTCGAACTGCGGTCGACTATGTGGGAATCCAGCGACATAGCTATTACGCTAACTTCTGGTCCCTAGACTTGATTCTTGAACTTCCTTTTTTATGATCTGTGGACTCTTCTCTATTGATTATTAGCCTTTAATCTGTGTGTAAGGTGGAGAAGAATGCACAAATATTAATTTGAATATATAAGCAAAACCAGAAAGCTATAATTTTTAAAATTGAGAATAAGTTTTAATTTTTCATCTCATTAAAGTGCCATCTGGTGGTGTGGTAGTTAAGGCAACTGGATCCCACATGGCCAATTGCATGGTTCTAGCCCCAGACCCCGTGACTTGAAAAACACCCTGGGCGCATAAGTGTGAATGCTCAAAATCTCCAAAGGAGAGATGAAGGAAGTGATTGCAGCGTCATCATCTCCCTTGGTGGGGGTGGGGGTGGGGATGCTTTCTCACTTGCCACTTCCCTTTGTTTCTCTGGCAAGTGCCTGTGCCATCTGGCCAAAAAAAAATTTTAAAGACATTTTTATTAAATAGCTACTGATGCAAGCATAAAGTAATATGAGTTATGCCTGTGTAAGAATTCAGGATTTTTCAGATTTTAGAAAAGTAATAATGTATATGTACCAAACTCTAACAGTTCCAGCAGCATCAAAATTTTGGCAGCAAAAGATGCGAACAGACTATGTGAGATAAATAATTATTATAAATAGCTTTACCTCTGATCATGTCAGGGTTTACCACTAAATTAGTTATGGATTTTAGAGTTATTGACAATTTTAAAATTGTGATAAAAGATGTAGATCATTTTTAAAAAACTATCCTTTTAATAGTTTGCACAAGGAACATTTTTTTTTCAGAGAGATTTTTGCCATGGGGCACATGCACTTGCCAGAGAGACAGAAAGCAAGAAATCATCCTCCCAGGGGAGATGGCCATGCCAGCCCTTCTCCTCCATACTCCTCTTGAGACTTTGGGCACATACTAACATGCATGCAGCATGAGTTTTAAGCCACCGGGTCTGGGACTCAAACCACGGTTAGCCTCGTGGGAGTCCAGTGATATAACCATTATGCCATCTGCTGGTCCCAAGGAACATTTTTTCTAACATTTAGAAAAATCTAATCCTATTTAATTGTAGAAAATACAACATAGAAACTTTACTTATCAAATGTTTAAATTAATTTTCAAAATTTCAGTTGAATTACCATGTTTCTTCCACCAAGGAGAAACAAAAGTAATATTTATTGCAGGAAGTCAAGAAAATGCAGGTAAACAAAAGGTGGGTGGAATACTTGAAATTCCTAGCCTTTACCAAAGAAAAGTATTGAATATTCATATTCGTATGTATGTTAAAAGCAAATTAGAGTTATAACTATAATCTCTTGTCTCACTAGTAGGTCATCATGTACACTATTTTTTTTTTTAATTGCTAGAGCGCATTGTGTGCAAGACCAAGAGAGAAGGAGGGAGAAAGCACTCTCCAACGGGGCATGGTTACACCATAATCCCTTTTTCTTCATTTCTCCACCCCACTGGGATTTGAGCTGTGCGTTTTTTTTCCTAGCCCCTGGGGCCAAGATTTGAACTGCCATAGGCCATGTGGGATCTGGCTCTCTTAATCACTAATTTATGGGGCTGATTCATCACACACACTTTTTTTTTTTTTTTTGGAGAGGTTTTTGCTATTAGGGCGCGTGTGTTCGCCACACAGAGAGAGACAGAGAGACAGAAAGCGAGAAATCACCCCTCAGGGGGGATGGCCACACCGCAATCCCTTCTCCTCCATTCTCCTCCCGGGATCTTGGACACACACGCACATGTGCCCAGTGTGAGTTTTAAGTCACTGGGTCCAGGACTCGAACTGTGGTCAACTACATGGGAGTCCAGCGACATAGCCATTACGCCAACTGCTGGTCCTGATCACACACACTTTTAATGTCTCTCTTTTTTCTGCCCTCTAAAGATAGAAATGCAGTAAATATCTTAACACTTTTTCTTTCATTTGTTGCAAAAACATTAGCATTATCTTACAATTATGCTTTGAAATTTTTGAGGAAGTCAGGGTAACATTTTTATCCCACCATTTTTTACTTGACCATGTTCATTTCTACAGATACCTTTTTTTTTTTTTGCTGCCTCATTGGTTGATAAGATAGCTTTTTAAAACAATATGCCAGAGGGTGAGTGTGCTCCACTGCAGGGGCCCGGGAGCAAAAAAGTATGCATGTAAACACACACACACACACATAACCAGGCACGGTTGTGCAGCAATCCCTCCTCCTCCATGTCTCCTTCCTTTCAGGATTTTGGGCATTCGTGCACATATGCCTGCTGTGTTTTCTCAAGCCACTGGGTCCTGGACTCAAACTGCACTGTTGGCCAAGTGTGATCCAGCTGTCTTTTAAACAGTAGGCCAGCTCGGCCTAGTAAAATAGCTTTTGTAGGCGAAAAATTATCTTAACAGAAAAAAAGCTACTGATAATAAACTTGAGACATAACCAACTTTAAAAAAAATGAATGAAAGAAGGATAAAGTATTGAACTGTCCATATGAAGACTACTAATACTGTAGAATTTTTTTAAAAATGCTCTTTTGTTAACTGGTCTATTAATACAAGTATTATAATGTCTGTCTTTTTGGAGCTACATTATTAGGTATGTTAACTTAGAAAGTGAGTGAAATACCCAGAATGAGGGCGCAATGAATTATTTAAAAAATAAACTTGACTTTTTTCCCTCAGCCGATAAATTAGAGACTGTATTTTTAGTTGTACTGTCATACTTATGAAATGGATTTTGGACTGTTTGAAATGTAAAGCATTCTAAAGCTATTTGGGGTAGTGCCTATTTATGATATACCTATTATATTCTGCTTAAGAGAATACTTCCATTTCTTTAAAATATTTTTTCTAATTATTATAGTAGTATATCTGAATTTAGAAAGAATGAAAGGATATAAAATAGAAATGTATATGATGCCACTGTGCACTTTCCATTGTTAATACTTTGTTTCCAGTGAACATACAATCATGTGTCCCTTGACAGGAATATGATCTGAGAAATGTGTCATTAGGTGACTTTGTCATTGCATAAACAAATCACAGAGTGCACTTACATAAACCTGGCTGGTATTGGCTTCTACACACCTAGACTATGGTGTAACCTGTTAAAGTCTTATGGGACCGCTACCACATATGTGGTCCATTGTTGCCCTAAACACTGTGCAGTACGTGACTGAATTCAGTTTTCTCTGAATATGTCTTCTAAAAAGTTCTCTGTATGTTTATATATATGTACATGTGTACACGCACATGGTTTTGTATCCTACTTGAGGTTTGCATTTTTGTTTATTTTTGAGATGCCTGTAAATTTTAAGATGTGAACATGTCATAATTTATTGCCTTTGAACTAATGCGCAAGTATAGTTGGTATAATATAAGTTATGTTGGCATTTTTCAAATAATTATTTTTCCCATTCTTACTATGCACGTAATTACAAAAATAAAGGGTCATGATTTGTGTGATAAATTAATAACCTAAATACACAAGATAAAACTGTTCTTTGAGTTTGAAATTATTCAGGGTGAGATTTTTAGTGCTGTCATACTTCTTTATCAAATTTTCATGAGCATAGGAACTGTTTCTTCTTCCTTACTGTAACGCCTGGCCGAAGATGCAGCTGGCAGGTAGTTAGTACTCTCAATGTATATTTGGTGAAAGAATGAATTGCATTTACCTACTTAGAATGATTTTTGCCAACTTGTGATGTTAATTTTCATGCTTTTACTCTGGAAGCATCTACTGGGAATATAGGTTATTTTTCAAGTGTTAATGCTATAGTGTAAGTAATTATTGATGAAATGGAATAAAACCATGTGATTATTCTCAGTTCTTGGTTTTAATATGACTCTGTGATAGCCTAATCTTTATTTG